AAAAAAAAAAAAAAAACCTATTTGGGCCAGATGTGGTGGTGTACACCTGTAATTCCAGTACTCAGGAGGATGAGGCAGGTGGATCCCCATAAATTTGGGGCCAGCCTGGATTACACAGAGAGTTCAGGGAGAGCCTGAACTAAAAAGTGAGACCCTGTCTCCAAAACAAACAAACAAACAAGAACCTAGATGTTGGCTGAGTTGTAGTCACCAATTCCTCTTTCATGGGGGGGGGGGGGGACTCTACACATTCCAGTGATGTCCTTCGGTGAGCCAGTCAGTGGGTGAACTGAGGCACTATTTTGAGACAGGCCTAAAATGACCTGGAATTCCTGACAATCATCCTGTTTGTCTCAATAGCCCAAGTGCTGAGATTATGAGATTACATGTGTGTCTCAACACACCCAGGTAACTTTTTTAAAAAATTGCTATTTATGCAATTACAAAGCAACTCATATTTTCCCCAAAATTTCAAAGAATGTAAAAATGTAGGAATTGGGGCTGGGGAGGTGGCTCAGTAGAGTAAGTGCTTCCCTGGCAATCACTAGGGCCTGAGTTCAATCCCTGGTTCCGAAAAACAAACAAACAAAACAAAACAAACAAACAAACAAAAACAAACAAACAAACGCAGCTGAGTATGCAGAGGGGAAAAGGAATTCTTTTGCACTGCTGCTGGGAAGTAAATTAGCACAGTCCATATGGAAATCAGTATGGTGGTTTCTCAAAAAATTAAAGTAGATACCAGGGCCAGTGGTACACATCTATAGTCTCAACACTCTGGGAGGCTGACGCAGGAAGTTCATAAAATTTTTTTTTAAATTTTATTTTATTGAGAAACAAATATCAATGAGACAGTTTCAAAACTGATTAATAGCACAGTCTCAATAATTAATACATTGTACATTGTTATCTTCTTAGTGGTTATCCGTAGTACAAGATGCAGACAGAATATCCTGTCCAAACACTATTAGTACAAATCTTCTCATTGAATTAAGCGAAAGTAGCTCTATATCTATCCTAACTATTCTGCATACACAAATACAAAATGGTCCTTCCTTTGTATCCCCTTTTATTGTTTAGTCCTGTCAGAAATGGGTATTTCATTGGCATCTAAATACTATAGGTGCGTGAATTCAGCAAAACAATCCAACACAGTGCAGCAGTCCACATTAGTAGTGGGTTATCCACAGAAGTTGTTGACTCGAGCCTTTCACAGCTCAGCATATTAATATGGCTTTACTTTATATACTATGGCTTTACTTTAGATACCATAAAATTAATAGGCCAGAGAGATAGCTCAGTTGTCTAAGCGCCTGCCTGGCAAGTGCAAGAACCTGGGTTCAATCCATGGTACCCATGCCAAACTGGCCACCGAGACTGGGCATGGTGGCACACATGCCTGTAATCCCAGCACTGGGGAGGCTGAGACAGAAGGATCACTAGAAGTCCAATCTGTGTAGTGAGACCCTGTACCAAATAAATTAAAACAATTTTTTTTTCATAATAATTGTTTTCACTACTTATCCCCAGTGATCAGCTGGAACAACACTCTTTTTGGCTAAACTGGCCTAAACTTCTCCCCTTCCTCCAGGCAGCTGGAGACACTGCCCCGCCTGAGCCAGCAGCGCTACAGCCTTCCGTGGAGCAGCCTGGCTCCAGGTGGAGCCTTCTCTCATCTCCCCGAAGGCCCACAGTGATCGCTATCTAGCGTTTTTACTCTGTACACAAGGAAAACTATGCATTAACTTCTGAGATGTTTGTGGACCTAATGATCAGGGCTCTTTCTGTGGTAAGTTCCCACATCTACTGCAGTAGCCCCTTCCTTTCCAACACTTTTGCAATAATTCTCTCGAATAGTCTCTCCCTATTTAAAATAGAAAAAGACAGATAAACCCAAAAGTTTATTATTATAACCTTAGTGTATTTCCTTAAGAACAATGTTTAAGCCTCTTGAGTAGCTGGGATCACAGGTCTGTGATACCATCCCTTGCTATAATACTGTAATTAGTAGACTTAAGTGCAATTTTAAAATTATTATTTATTTATTTTTGGCAGAATCAGGGATGGAACTCAGGCCCTTGTGCTTGCCAGGGAAACACTTGTTCTACTGAGCCATCTCCCCAGCTCCTTGTAGGCTGACTTCGAACTCACATTTCTCTTGCCTCAATCTCCGAGTCCTGGGATTACAGGTGTGTACCACCATTCCTGGCTTTATGTGCTCTACTAAATCAGTTTTCACAGAATATTCCTAGTATTTGGAGTTGCTTAGAATTTTGAGTTCGGGCTAGGGAGATGGCTCAGTGGAATAAGTGCTTCCCTGGCAAGCGCAAGGGCCTGAGTTCAATCCCCAGTTTGGGGGAAG